CCTACCTACCAACCAATAGGCTACGAGCCTTATCTTCATCTAGTTAAAACCCCTCCTAAATATCGTAGCTAGAAACAACCTACTTAGATACTTGTAGGCCTAAAAACCCTACACGTCTTGTATAGCCCTTTAGGCTGAAAAAGGACGTTAAACTAGAATCATAATAATAATAATAATAATAATAATAATAATAATAGGATAGAACTTACTCTATAGGCAATACAAGGAGAAAGGTTCTATTGTAGTAAAGAGCTTTATATAGCTATAGGAGGAAGATATTAGGCTATTAATTAATAAGAGCTTTGTAATGTACGACTACCACTAACGCCGCATCTAAGGACGAGAGAACTTAAGATAGTCTTGTGTGATGTACTACTCGCTAGTCTAATAGATTATCTGCGCTAACATTAAGTACTAGCTCTTGTACGCAGTACTATGCTAGGAGCACACTCTAGTCTTATACCTATACTACACCAAGTTCGCGAAGCCTAGTGACAAGACAGCATTCACTTACATCAACTTAAACCTAACTTAGGCTATGTAGGAGGATTCAAGAGTAGACATAATTTAAGGAAGCGTCTTAGTAGATAATAAAGATAATAAGAACTACACCTTAGTAATAGAAGGCTTCTACAAGCATATTTAAGAGTATATAAAGTAGAGGAAGAACAAAGGTATAAAGAAAGCTAGCATAGAAATCTAGAGTTAGAAGGATATAGTCGACTAGCCTAAAAAGCTTAGGAAACAGTTTCTTAAAGTACAATAGAGACGCACACCTTGCAAAAAAGGAGAAGCCTGCATTACTAACCCCCTGCTCCTGCATGGCTCTATAGGGCCGGCTGTAATGGGCGGGCCCAACGGGCCGAGCGTACGACTACTTACGCCATCCATTGCCAAAAAGGCAGTAACAAGACTTCAAGCTTCTTGAAGTCTAGGTAGTCGTATAGATATACTCGATCACACACACACTTTAGGCGTAGCCTCTTACACCGGCTACTAAGAACCGTCGTACAATTCTGCCTTAGTATATTGCCGTGCGCAATAGTGTAATAGAGGTACTAGCTATAGGAACCTACAAAGATATCCTTAAGGCTTATTAGACGCTTATAGCACCTCTAAGCTCTCTATCTAGCTACCTAAATAAGTATAGTAGAATTAATTAGGCTTTTCTAGCTAACGTTAAGTTTAACTTTAATTCTTACATCTAAAAGGCCTTAGTTAGACAAGCTTGTTAGGACGATCTATTAGTGTAGAAAGAGTTCTAAGAGGAGATTATAAACAGAATAGTAGAGTTAATCTAAGACTTTATCTTAGATACTAGAGATGCTGCAATTAAATAGCTAAAATGCCTACTACTATTAATTATAAAGCTAGAATAAGATGCTTTTTATGCTAACTCTGTAGAAGGCATACTAGATTAATCGTTCTTTACAAACAATAGAGTACATCTAGACAAGGTAGAAGACTAGATTAAATAGGACAAGGACTTCTCTAAAGCTGACGCGATTAACTATCTGCAGACAGAACTTACGCTAGAACCTAATAAGAACTTAGCTGCGCAGGCTATAGGCCTCCTAATGTCTTAATCTAGGAGGTTGTTCTTCTTAACTTATAATTTGCATTCTAGCACACTAGCTTAGCGCCGTTATAGCTCTAGTGTTAGTTCTAGTTTGTCGTTACTACCACAATCGCTTTACTCTCCCTCTCTATTGCGCTAAGTTACTAGTCTAAGTGTGCAACTAAGGCGTAGTAGTCGACTAAGGAAAGGAGCATAGAAGTAAGGCATAGACGCTAGGTTAGGAGCAGAGAACCCGGCGTCTGCATAGAAGCTGCAGGGAAGACAAGATAGCTAAACGTAAGGGATAGGACAGATAGGGGGGGTGAACAAATTGCAACTAGGAAGGAACTAGGGGGTACTTTAGAGAGGGGTATTTAGTGTGTAGTGGAGGTGAGCTTAATAGGGCCAAGCTCTTAGGTTTAGGAGGTTTGTGCTGAGGCACAGGGTCACCATGACCCTTATGCTAACTAAGCACAGCTTACCTTCAAAAAGGAACATAAATTAATAGTCAAGATGGGAGAAAAAAAATGCGGGGGGGGGGGGGGGGAAACAATATCTCTTAGAAAAATCTCTTGCTCGAAGAACCAACTACATATATTTTACTCCCTCTCCCCTCTCCCATAGCCTATGGGAAGGGGAAAAACCTTTAGTTCTGTTCCCTCTACTGAGAAGACATCGCAGTTCCACACTACTTCTCTACACTAATAGACTGCTAGCTGCGCACGGCGCTAGCTAGGTTAGCGTCTACTAGCCGCGCAACTTTATTAAGCATACTAATAGTCTTATAACGCGTTTTAATTAAGCGTATAATAGGTAGAGAGCCTTATATAAAGATCTAGTCTTAATTAAGAGCTAGTTGTTACAAGTAACAAGCAGAAGGATTCTTCCCTTGTTGGAATGGCGAGTGGTTGGAGAACCACTCAGGATGACACCAAAGGCACGACGACAACCCCGCGGTGATCACGTGACGTGTGCTCCCGCCAAGAGCCATGCTCCCGCCAAGGAAGGGAGAATGGGAGGCCTTGGGAGAATTGTGCTCCCACTGCTCCCATGGGAACATGCTTCTGAGGGAGAATAGGGAGCATCAGGACAGAACACGATGGGTATAAGAATGTGTTGGATTTCATTATTACACTCGTTGTGGTCAACTCATTATACTGTACTCTCTTACAAGTTCTTTACTTAACAAGATTGGTACTTTGTTATTCTATCTTACTATAGAATTAATTGTCTTTACTATCGGTTAAACATCCATAACTCTTTTCCACCTAAATTACTCGGCAATCACACTGCTTACCACGAACCCGCTGACTCGCCCTAAACCGGACCGAGTCCTAGCTAAGTATAGTCGAACCCCGTGTAACACTAGTTTAAGCTTATAGAAAAGATAAAGGCTAAGTATAGCATTTATAATAAAGACGTCTATAACTTTAATAAAGTAGGCTTTATAATAGGCAAGATCGCAACTTAGCTAGTTATTATAGCGTTAGAAAGAAGAGGCTAGCTAAAAGCTATTTAACTAGGTAGCTAAGAGTAGGTAACGTTTATCGCTAGAATTAATATAGCTAGCTAGTCTATCCTACTATTCCTTATCTTTACTAGCAAGTATTACCTATCTACCTAGTATAAGAAGATAGAGATCCTACGCAACTAGGCGATTGTAGTTAGCAACAATAGCTAGACAACTAATAAGCTAGGAGTTAAGTAGCTAAAGTACTTTGTTAAGCATACAAATAGCAAAGTTATTAGAGTACGCTAGCTACTTATTCTTAATAGCTATAAGAGCTACTAGTTACTTAAGTTCTAAGAGCTCTATAAGGCAAATAATATCTATACGCTCTATATGCTACTTTACTTATCTTACCTACTCTAGCCTCTTAACGTTAGCTACTTCTCGCCATTAAAGCGCGCGTATAGCTATAAGGTAGAGAGCCTAATACGCAACCACATTAACTATATCACTAAGCTTAAGTTTCTACTAGCGTTTAAGGTAGCCTTTAATTAATCCTTTATAGTAGCTAATATCTACTTAGCCTTTTAAGGTGTAGGCCTTATTCCTTTCTAGCTAGACACTATTTTATTAAAGCTTAACGTATAGCTGCGTACGCCTACTCTAGTAGCTACTCTTATAAAGGCTGTCTAGCAGGCTTATACCCTAAGTAACATACGCAAGCCTAAAGCCTAATTAACGCTAATACATAATTAGGTCTAGCGGCATAAGAGCTTATTACTAGCGTTAATTATTATAGCAATTAGCTAGCTTAAGAAGAAGGTAAAGAGAATAATACTCTTAGCTAAGCTAATACGTAATTAGATCGCTAGCTTTATAAGAGCTAATAAGGTAGTAATAAAGTGTAGGTAGCGTAAAAGGAAGTAGATATAGAAGCATAAAGTGCTAATAAAGGAAGCTAGAGAGGATCTACTTACTTAGCGTAAGGCTAATTAGTAGATTGCTTATAAAGAGCGTTAAAGAGGAGAGCAATTAAGTGTTAGCTACTAGGCTTTGGCGCGCTATAGTAGGTGTAGAGAAACTAGCCACAACTCGTGTACGTGCAAGAAAGATACTCTAGGTACTGCTTAATCTATTATATTAATATATAGTAAAACAACTATATTATAGTAGAACTATAGGCTTATAGAGGTGCGCAGGTTTAGTGGGGTGCGGCGCTTGCTTGTAGGCGGCGCTCGCTTGTAAAACACGTTATACTAATTAAGCATCCTATATATGCACGTATGCATACAAATCCATATCTAAATCACCAGCGACTTCCTTCCATCATGACAAAAAATTCCAACGTAAAAAGGGCTTATTTATCTGCCCTTGTCTTTCTTATCGTTGTGTTTTTTTTCTCTCCTTTGCTCAATTATCTGTTCGCATACCGGATTATCGTATCGTATCGAGACTAATTACTGGTTTTTTTCAGGGACCTGCATGTAATGCATAATGGCTTGGATTTTGTTTGGGATTTGGCGGTCCAGAACCTCGGGGTGGGGAAGATGGAAGGAGGAAGAGGACCTGGGTTGAGAGCGACGGGCGATAATGGTACAAAAAAAAGTCCCAGAGTTGCATACATGTGTGAAGGATTGCAAAGAGCCACAGGTCGGGTTAGTTGATGGGGGCGAGGTCGAGTCATGGGCAGTTGTTGGAACGGTGTGATTTTTTTCTTCTCTTCCCCACGAGGGGGGGGGGCTTGCTCTCGGCTCAGTAAATGACGGTATCTTCGGCCGCCTCCTCTACTATGTCTTCTCCGTTCTCGTCGTCGTCGTCATCCTTGCTGGGCTCGTCAGCAACAGTGGCATGACTTGCAATCTTGCCATCCTGCATATGCCCCGTGGCGTGCTCATCCATGGCTTCCTTGGTCCCAGGGTCGTCGTCAGGGTGCTGGTCCTCTATCTGCGAGTCCTTGGTATGAGGGGCGCTGCCATTAGTCGCGCCATTGGATGTGGATGTGTCGTGAGGTGCATCTGCATCACGGCTCTTACCAATCTGGGAACCCTCTGCATCGCGATTCATTTGCTCGGATGCGTGCCGCTTCCGCTGATTATCCGGTTGCTGGCGCGCCTCGTATTCAGCCACTTCCTGCCTGATGATGTCTTCGGCTTCGGCTATTTGGTCTTGTATGCACTCGTCTTCCTCGGGGCTCGTTTCCCAGGGCTTGTAGTACTGGGGCGACAGTTAGCTTTTGTGATGAGCAGGCACCTCGCGCAGCAACGTACCAGGCGTGGTTCGGTCTTGGTCTGGAGGAAGTGGGCCATGTTGCGGAGGTTCTCGTGGCGAGCGCGCATCTAGAGACAGTAAGCACCGGACCAAGGGGGTTTTCTATCGAGGAGCGACAAGCCGTACTGATTGCCTCTCAAAGCGCCTCTGCTCTATCCATCGCTGCTCTTTGCGCCGTGCTATGCGCTCCGCCTTCCTCTGCTCGCTCTCGTGGTCTTCTTGTCGGCGCTGGGCGAGCTGTCTCTGTTCGATTTCCGAGCGGCGTTTCTGTGCTGTGGTAGCAGTATTCTGTGAGAGAGCGCCCAGGACGGCGCCAAACAGCCTGCGCTCTCGTCCCCTTTCGCGGCGCACCGGGGCGGGCCTCGAGTCCTTGGACGAGGTGGAATCACGCCTATCCTTGTCGGTGGGAGCGCCGTCAGCGCCGATTCGCGGTCGCTTTGCCGCATCCTCGGAGAAGGACTCGTGGCGTCTTTTCTGGCTGTTCACGGGCGAGGCGGGCACGGCGAGGTCGTCTGGGAGGACCACGGCGGACGCAATCGGGGCGGCCATTGTCACATGGAAAGCGTTGGCCACGCTGGACTATAGAGATTTTCTGCCTTGTGCAGCAGGGCGCCTGGAGCCGCGCGTCGTGAGTGTGTTCAAAGGTGCGAATGTAAGACGGGGCATGTCGAACGCGATACGAGGCGTCGCGTAAGTAGAGCGGGCGTTCATGTCGACGACGGAGCTTGGCTTACGCTAGCAGCGGACCCCCGAAGCTCGACTTTCACCTCTACAACTTTCTTTCTCTCTCCACGCGCAACAAGATTCGCCACTCTCCACTGCTTCTTCTGTCTTTCTGAGCTCTTCGCGACAAAAAAACTGCCCGCCATGTCTCGCCATCATCCGTAAGTTCGCACTCCCGCTCTGCCCGCCACTCGCGCCACTCCCACACCTGCTAACAACACCCCGACAGCGATCTCGTAATGTGCCGCAAGCAATCCGGCATCTCCATCGGGCGCCTGTGCGACAAATGCGACGGCAAGTGCCCCGTCTGCGACTCGTACGTGCGCCCCACGACGCTCGCGCGCATCTGCGACGAATGCTCCTTTGGCAACTACCAGAACAAGTGCGTCGTATGCGGCGGCGAGGGCATTTCCGACGCCTTCTACTGCTTCGAGTGCACGCGCCTGGAAAAGGATCGGGATGGGTGCCCCAAGATTATAAATCTGGGTAGTAGTCGGACGGACCTGTTCTACCAGAAGAAGAATTTTAGAAATCATTGATGAGGGCTGGGGGTTGGTAATACATGAGTATGGAACAAGCCGATATGGATGTATGGCATGGATATATGGATATATAAGGCGTTCTGGGAGTCGTGGTTATGTGTGATTTCGCTGGCTACGGCTAGAGAGAAGCAAGAGACCGACGAGTTCAAAGATAGCTCGAGAGATTTGCCAACGGTATCCTCTGCCCAATTTCTGTCGCCAAGGAGCTTTCTACTGACATTCATAAGATTCTACTGTACGAATGGAATGATGAGCCATGTTCGTAAATGCATAAGTTCTAGCCTCGACCGCCTTGAAAAAAAAAGAGAGCGTGAACGAAAGAATGTTAGATTGAAGCCCGCCCCTTCATCTATCCAGCAGAGCTTGGGTATCATTTTCGCTGCCCCAACGCGCCCATAAACGCCGATATTGTACATGAATAATATTTCGAGCTGATAATACCTCTTTCATAGACCTGTCGTCCTCGTCACTGAAATCAATGCCCATTCATGCCCGAATCGCTAAACTTGCGCTTCTTGGCTTCGCGCTCGCCGGCATCCTGTGGCGGCCGGTACTGATCGAGCTTGCCCTGCATCCGATACGTCTCGCGCTTGATGTTCTCCGCGTTGCCCAGAAGGTCCATTTCCGTGACGGGCGCTTCAATGCTCTCCAGCACGCTGTTAACAGTGCTGATGTGATTGGCATCCTTTTTGTCGTCGCGCCAGCGCGGCGTGCCGTCTGCCTCGGCCTTGTATTTCCACTGTCCGCTCTCTGTGCGGTAGCACTCTATTATGCGACCGTCGAGGCGCTGGTTGAGTGATTTGAGCGTCTCCCATTCGGCCTGTGTGAGCGCAAGCGTGGAGAATACTTGGTAGTTGTTTGAGTTGTGCTGGACGAGCAGTTCGATGGGACAGGGCATGGCGTCGTAGTCGGGGATGAGGCCTTCTTCGTCGTCTTCGGGGTCCATGAGCGGAAACTCACCTAGGCGAAGCTTGAAGTCGATCGTGTTTTCGTGTGGTGGTTTCCATTTCAGGATGTGTCGATCTGTGCCGAACTGATATGGCGTCGACACGCATGTAAAGATGAGGCCATCGTTTCCGTGCCTGAGGTTAGGCAGAATGTTGCTGAACATGTCCTCGAGCTTGTACGCCGCATATGTCTTTTTTCCCTTGAGCGCGAATGGCTTCAGGTCATCTGGTCTGATGTTCTTTCCAAATGTCCTCGTCAGGTACATTTCATACGGCTTGATGACCCAATCATGCAACCGTCCCAACCGCTTGTCCAGTGTCCGCCCCGTTACATTCTGCTCGTTGACCGCCAAACAATCAAAGACGTAGAAATTCAAGCGCGGCGCGGGCTCGTTGGGGTACTGGTCGTGCACTAGCTCTCCGTCCAGGATGGTACCGTACAAAAAGGGCTCGGGCTCATTCGGGTGCATGTAGTGGGGGATCCGAAACGGCGGCTGCACGTTGTAGTAGTTGTTCTTGCGATCGATCAAGAAGGTCAGAGGCTCAAAGGCCCCCGTCGGCCCTTCGTGCCAGTGGAGGAAGAGCAGGCAGCGCAAGCCATCCGTCTTCTCGCACATGAAGTATTCATTGCGTTGGAGCTCGGCGACATGTTCGCGGGCAAAGGATACGGGCTGCGCGCCGGGAAAGCGCAGGTTGTCGCGTTCGAGAAGATCGGCGACGACTTGTTTGAGCGGTTGCGCCTCTTGGTTGGGTATGAGGAAGCCGGGTATCTGTGGCGGAGGCGCATGTGTCGGGGCCGTGGTCGGCATCGTGGCGAGTCCGATGTGCAGTCGCAACGCTGTATCAAGGTGGTTTCCAGACGTGCGCGTGAAAGACGACGAAGATGAGGAGAAGCAGTTCAGCCATGTTCGCGACTACTGCGATCGCGGTTACGCGCCAAGGTCCGGAATCGGGTTATGTAAGCCGACGTGTCTAACGTGCAGGGTCAGTAAGCTGGGCAGATCAGTAAGCTGGGCACCCCACCAAACTTCGCGCGACGTTCTGCGCAATTGAGCCACAACAACGTATTAAAATAATATAAAATTAAGATATATAGTTTACTATTTAGCTCTGTATAAAGTCTAAGTATATCCTTCAACGTAACACTTTGTGCACGTTGGCGGCGCGCGCTAACGTCGCTTACTAGCCTAGTTCTAGCTACCCTCTATAAGTAACCTTTCTGCCTCTGCCACAAGCTGCTGAGCCTACTGCACCTAGAGTACCCCACTAGAAGCAATATATTAACGCTGTTAATCTTGCTTTTGCCGCTGACGCTAGTTCTTTTCACGTAGCTTCTTATTCTCCTCTGCAAGTATCGTTGCTAATTGCATTATAAGCTAAGCGCTCTTAGCAAGCTGGCGTATCGCAACGCTTGTTGGACTCTCTGGCTGCTGGCGCAGTCGCTCTTGGAGATACCGCACCTGCTGCTGAAGCTCTGCTACTGTATGTGGTGTCTCTGTCTGCGTTGCTGCCTGCGCTGTAGTGTTATTATCTGTGGTTGTCTGTGGTGGAGACGGTGTTCTGGCTACTGTGAGCGACGATAGAACGCGATCTAGACAAGGAGGGACAAGCCCTGTCGCCTGAAAGCCTGCCTGGATATTCTGCTGCGTAAAAATCTTCAGCCGGATCCGTGTATAGGCTGCAAGGAAGTCTATCTTGTCAACGTGGTAGACCCCATGCTGGGCGAGCTCCTCAACCTCGCGTCCGTATGCGCGCTTAAGAGGAGAGTAACAGCTCACATCTAGAGGCTGGAGGAGGTGCGACGTGTGAGGCGGCATACAGAGAGTGATAATCTTATTCTTAGTGCAGTACTGGTCGAACTCTGGCGTTGCGTGGCTACCATGACCGTCTAGAATAAGCAGCCGATAGACTCCAGCTGTACGAGCCGTTGTATGCTGGTTGAAGTGCTTTACCCACTCTACGCCAAGCTGATCAGTCGTCCAGCCGTTGTCTGAGGTGCCGATAGTCCAGTCTGGTGGGAGATTGTGATACCAGCTGCTCTGGTGAACCTTGCCAGACAGTATCACGAACGGTGGCAGAGACCAGCCAGACGCGTTAACGCACTCGATCACTATAACCCACTCCCGATTGCCTAGCTGTACGACGACTCGCCCGACTAACTCTA